ACATAGAGAAGATGAAGGTGACGTAGATAACCAACCAGCCAATCACTTCCTTCACTTATCTAGGAAGCACCGTCTCAACTATAGACAGACAGCAGGGATGAAGATGTCCAAACCAGTAATGGAAAGGTAAAGCAGGTAAGATCCAGATTTTCAACTCCAATGTGAAGTCAGTGCTACTCGCTACACGGATCAGAGACTTGGCGTGTCATGAAGAGCATCTCAAACAAACTACAGACTTTCATTAACAGTTATCTTCGCTCAATACTCAAGATCAGATGGCCAGAAAACATCAGCAATAGTGAGGGATCTCTGGGAGCGAACCAACCAGAAACCGATTGTGAAACAAATAGACAGGAAGAAATGGAGATGGATTGGCCATACTCTGAGGAAACCATCAAGTGACATCACTAGACAAGCCATCGCTCGAGTGTAACCCAAAAGGAAAGCGGCGAGTTTGTCGTCAGTGCAAGGGTGACTTCAAGGAGGTCATGTGAAGAGGAGATGAAAACGTGTGGGCAGACCTGGAGCCAGGTGAAGACTCTAGCAGAGGAGCGAATGCAATGAGGGCGCACGGCTGAAGCCCTATGTTCCTGTAGGAATTAAAGGAAACAATAATAATATAATAATAAGGCAGACTTCATCACCCTGAAATTACTCCAGAAGATTTAGGCACTCAGCAAGAAGAACAGATGTCGGATATTCAATAGCAAATTTCAGTCACTCATTGATTGCCTATAGGTAGGAAGGTTGGCATTTTTGTCACAAAAAGCGTTTCCAACAACTTGCAACAGACTTTTATCAACAGATGTCTTCGTTGGCTGGATGCTGAAGATCAAATGGTCGGCTAGAGACAAGCATCAACAAAGAACTCTGCCATATAGTGAATTAATCGAGAACTTATCACTCAACAGATATACCGAAGTAAACGGAGGTTGATTAGACACAGACGAGTAGGCCTTTGAGTCACATGACACTTCAGGCGGTCAGGCAGGCAGCTAGGACGTAGACTGGAATTTGAATAAGAAGCGACGAGTTGGGTATGGTATCAAGGGTGATAGGAAGAAGATGAAAGCCTGCAGACAGTTGTGGAAACATTTGAGAACAATAGTATAGAACAGAGCAGAATGAAGCTGAAGCAGTATACTCTGTTATACTCAGGATGCTTGTATCTTGCCGTTGATTTGCTCGCCTACAATCCTTCCTCCATTCACCTACCTTCTAATTTCTCTTATGTGAACACCATTCAAAAAAATCAAAGGATTAACAGTATACAAATAGACAAATAAAAACAAAAGAGGTAAAATTAATTAATTATTTTGCTCAACAACTAGATCAAAGCGACAGAGAGACGGTGATGTGGGAGGAGCGAACGCGTAGAAAGTTCCCTCCCTCCCTTATGTACTTGTGAACGAAATTTTGCTCCAATTGTACAGTAGGCAATTTAGGTCAAGGTTAAGAGGCATATGGTATAAACAAGCAGAGTACATTCATTAAAAAGGCGTAGACAGAAGAAATAAGCAGGTCAATATGTATATATGAAGCTGAAAGTAATTAATTTCTTTGTGTTAGGGACACGGTATGCGTGTGCTTGATTTTCCCCTTCTGTCTCCTTCGTTCTCCAAGTTCAAGTGAGTAATATAATATTTCATTTGAAATGTTTAGAGGTCGATAAACTCATAAAATGTGACAACAGGCTTTTAGTTAGTTAGTTAGTTAGTTAGTTAGTTAGTTAGTTAGTTAGTTAGTTAGTTAGTTAGTTAGTTAGTTAGTTAGTTAGTTAGTTAGTTAGTTAGTTAGTTAGTTAGTTAGTTAGTTAGTTAGTTAGTTAGTTAGTTATTAGTTAGTTAGTTAGTTAGTTAGTTAGTCAGTCAGTCAGTTAGTTAGTTGGTGAGTTCGTAGGAGAGAAAATGGAAGGAAATATCAGTTAGAGAGAGAACCGTTGAAAACCACCAGGGAGTACTGAACAGCCAGGTGTTTCATCCTGGTTTAGGACTCATCATCAGGGTGCACCCATCAGAAGTATTCGAATCCGCAGCCTTCTGGTCATAATTTAAGCTCAATGGCGAACGCATGAATTCAAACTTTTACCACTTCGTAACTTTTTAGCACGAGCACCAGCCAAAATCATCAGTGAGGACTTGTCATCAGTCCCAACAACTTAATGGACCTCACTAGTCATGACTTCTCACTAGGAGTTCAGAGAACTTCGTTCTGTAGTCAGTCACTAGAGAGTATAGAAATAATTTTCAAGACTTAGATTGTAGGGATTTGTTTTTTTTGACGTTTGTTCACGGGCTGATATAAGTTAGAGAAGTACTGAAAACTGGAGAGTGCTCAGCACAGATGTTTCCTCCTATTTTCGGAGTCATCAGAAGTAAGCACTTATCATATCAGTTTTCTAGAGTGGGTTCCACCCGGTCGGGACTGAGGACCAATACTCTCCAGGCGTGACATTGGTTGGTGCCAGTCGTGCTGAGATTGTGGTGAGAGCTGTCTGCATCCAATGTTTTCAACCCGATTCAGGGTCATGAGAAAAATTATTAACAAAGCCTAACCTTGAGGAACTCACCAACGAATCACAACAGACTTAACGTGTGCAAATATCATTCGCATATATATGGCCTAACTATCTAAGAAACGGTCATAAGCAGTACAGAATAACTTTCAGCAAGAAAACAACCAATCAGAAGGTGTTGCTTCTCTGCTAATAACAACAGTAATAATAATGTACATAAAAATCTATGAATATCTCTTGATTTTCTCAATAAACGATCTGTCGCCTGGCCCTTGTCTTCTGTCGTTGGAAGATGACGAACTGGTTACAACTCATAGGTTTTCCATTGAGTAGTTGGGTCACAGTTGCTTAACGAATGGTCTGCAAGCTTGCTTGATAAACGGAAGGTCGTGGATTCGAATTCCTATGGTGGATTCGTGATGATGATGAGTCACAAACTGGTGGGACGAAACAGCTGTCCAGTACTCCCTGGTGGTTTTTGATATCTCTTCAACTGATATCTAACCGTGGTCTTGAGATTTAAAGCAGATCAAATCCCTGCATATAAACTCTTGGAAATGATATATGTTTAAGAACCTATAAAGACCTTTCATATGGTAAATACATGAAAGACGTGAGACAAGTTCAACTCCTTTGAAAGCTTAAATTATTCGGCTGCATTCTACAATTTTAAGTGGTGGTGGGAATAGAATGGGCTAATTGACTATTAGTCAAACTATTAGAATCAATAACAATTTATCAGTACTCATGTTATGATTTTAGGTGAAGAGAAAAGTCAATCGATGTGAAGAATTGCTCGACATAATTCCGGATGTAACATAAGACTCCATGTTTCAAGTTTCTGCATCAATGGTGTTGTCTTTTACAGTATAGGCTGCTAGATACAAACCCATCCTTCCCTCCATGTTTAGGAGTGTGTCGATGGGTAGCTGAACTCATGATGACGCGCGTAGTCGGTGAGTATTCTATTGCTGAACCCTTTGACGAACCTGAAACCTTTTTGTACTCATCAGTAATAGTCCCAACAACACATAGTCAATATCATCACAGAAGCACAAAGATGAGCATTAGAATTAGAGATTAAACAGGAACGTGGAAAAATAATAACGATTGAGTTAACAGACAGTATTCCAAAGTTAGAAGGAAAGCGGATCATTATTCCATAGTTAACTGAAACATCCAAATAAGTATAAACATTGTGATTAGTTCATTCAGGTGGGATTTACCAAACAGTTATTCCATTAAAAGACTATCGACTGCAACACTAGTGAAATTTCAGGCCTGAAAGCCTGAAGTCCTTTCTATGTTCCGTTTGAAAGGCAAAGATGTGACCATAGCTTTCATTGCTTGTTAAATCTAATCCTTTCCCGTTTGTAATGAAAGTCTTCATACAAATTATGTTATTATTCCCTTGGGTTCAGAGTGGAACACAGGGCTTCAACACCGTGTCTCCACTTTCTTCCATTTCCTGCCAGCCTCTTCAGCTGTCTAGCTCCCCGATCGCCCATAATCTCTCATCTCCTCCAAATCACATGATCTCCTCCACATCACCCCCGCACCTACCACCTACTCGTCGCTTTCCATTGAAATTCCCCTCGATCGATAGCACGCATCGAGCGTGACGTCATTCGACGATTTCTTCAATGTATGCCCTACTCATCTTCATCTTCTCTTACATATTTGTTCAGCGATCGGCTCTTGGTTGGTTTATCACAGGAGTTTCTTGTTACTAATTCTTTCTGGCTGTCCATTTGACCTTCACTACGGAGGCAGCCAACGAAATGGGCAGCTGTTGATGAAAGTCTGAAACTGGCTGTTGGAAATCCTCTGCATTACACACGGTGCAAATTTCTGACCCATATAGAAGGACTGACTTGACATTGGTGTAGAAGATTTCTAAACTAATTTCAGGTTGATGAAGGCGTATCTTGCCTTTCTCATCCTCTCTGGATGGCTGACTGGCTTTGACATCTTCATCCGTGCCGTCTGTAGCTGAAACGATGCTTTCTAGATAAGTGAAGGAAGTAACCTTTGTTAAATCTCTCCCGTTAATGATGACTGCTGCTGATTGTTGTTGCTGGAGGTGGTACTTTGGTACCTTCATCACCTCCGCCTTTTCTATGTTCACCTGCAGTTCTGTCTTCGTTGCCAGCCTCTTCTGCCAGTTTGTTGGATTTTGCCTGTAAGTCTTCGAGTTTGTGTGACATTAGACTTATATCATCTGCGAAATCCAGACACAACGCATTTTTCTTAACTCACTCTTTACATGTATAAATATCTCATAGATACTGTTAATAGCATTCTCAAGTTAGTTAGTTAGTTAGTTAGTTAGTTAGTTAGTTAGTTAGTTTTTCTCTCGTGATAGTTACATGTTCACTTATCATTCAAAAATAGTTTGTTTACTTTTCCCCTATAGGTAAACAATTCATGTTCACATTTCACCTTTTTTTCTCTCTTTTTTCTTATTGCATTTATCCACTTTTAGGTTGTCAATGGTTACTGGGTGTTCGGAACAGTTATCTGTGATATATTCATTATGTTCGATGTATTATTTTGTACAGCATCAATTCTCAATTTAGTGGCTATCTGTCTAGACAGGTAAGTTATTCGTGACAATATAAATTTATAAAATAAATATCACATTATTGTTAGTATGATAATCATTACTGCTATTGCTTGATGACTGTTTTATATGTCTTTCTAACAATGGGCGAAGTATCTTTTCGCATATATATTGATGGAAGCTACATTTTTAGGGATTCGGATTAATTTCACTTTGGATTTCGTTTATAACTAGCGCCTGATATAGTAATCAATGTCTAGTACTGAAATAAACCAATCAGAATTGGCCTACACAAGTGATCGATATCCAGTCTGGAAATAAACCAATCAGAATTGGCCTACGTAGAATAATGCCTACTATTTTATTGGTCAGGATCATAGACTAATTGAAATAAGTATAAAACTTGTTCAGTTAATATTGCTGCACGACACTGTTTGGTTTATAAAAATAAAATCTTATTCATAATGGAAATAGACTAACTGAATTATACGATTCTGCTCAGAATATACCGTTACTTTCCGTCTCGTCTTAAGTGTACTCTGGCTTAAGTAGTTAAGGTTGAGAGATTGGCTAGCCGTTCTGAAGGTTTTCGGCGTAGACGAGAGATACTGGTGATTACTGCATCTCTCATCACCTCGGTTTAAAGTGAAGTAAAATACCAGGTTGCGTCATCCTGAAGAGAATAAAAGATTGACTGGATACAGAACTCCGCTAATAGGAACAAGCTGGATTCAAGAAAGGCAAAATATGTGCTGATCGAATTGCAACTCTACACATCATCACTGAACAAACATAGAATGGTAGTCAAACCTCTATCTCAACTACTTCGTCGATCGTAAGAAGGCCTTCGACAGAGAGTGTTGACCGAGATGTAATTTGGAAACTGCTTCAGCACTACGCGTGCAGTGCCCAAGTTTTTATCAATCTCATTTAACAGCTGGCTATATGACAATGCCATCACGTGTCAGGTGGTCCACAAAGGAAAACCCAGTGAGGCGTTCGAATTGAATACAGCGGTAAGACAAGGCCACTGTCTAACATCATCAACGATAATATTCCCAATTCTGCTGGACTGGATTATGCCGTAGGCTATTTATGGGAATGAGAAGACAATAATACGTTGAACTGACCAACCGGAAGACTCTAGAAAATCTGGATTTCGCGTGTCGATGATTTATGTTGAATGTCACACAATCAACTTGAAGACTTACTTACAGGCGAAAACCAACAAACTGGTTGAAGAAGCAGGTGGTGAAGACAGGACACCAGTTGAACATAGAGAATGTAAACATGGAGGTGATGAAGATAACCAGTCCACAGAAACAGCAATAACAACCATCTCTAATCACCATCAGTAGGAGAGATTTGAATGTGGTTACTTCCTTCACTTATCTCCCAAGGGAACACGGTTTCAACTACAGGCATGAGTACAGCAAGGATGAAGACGTCAAAGTCAGCCAGAGAAGATTGGGAAGGCTAGATACGACTTCATCAACCTTAAATCAGTATGCAAATCTTCTACACTCTGCCCCAGCATAAACAACAACATTCGGATTCTATTCAACCAAATGTTGGGTCAATCAGTCACTTCTTCTATACGGGTGAGAAACTTGCACTGAACACGTGTCAAGAAAAGCATTTCTAACAGATAAGTGCAGACTTTTATCGACAGTTGCCTCTCTTCTTGCGCCACAATGAAGATCGAATGACCTTCTGGTTGGTCAGGAAGAATTAGTAACAAGAAACTCTGCCTGCTGACGAACCAATGGAGAGCCGATTTCTCAACAAATATGTAAGAGAAAACGGAGATGGATCGAGCATAGATTGAGGAGGCTGTCGAATGACATAGCGCTCAGTGCAGGCCATCGCTCGAGTGGGATCAAAACAGGAAGCGACAAGTGGATCGTTGGTTGGAGAATAACATGGAGGAGATCGTGTGTCAAGGAGGAGGAGATGAGAGATTATGGGCTCTCGTGGAGTTAGACAGCTGAAGAGGACGGTATGAAGTAGGGAAAAGTGAAAGTGTGGTTTTGAAGCCGCATTTTCCAATCGGAACTTAAGTGAGTAATAATAAAATCCGCAATACTCCTTTGCTGGCCCCACATTTGCCCATATGCAATGGCCCGAAATGCTATATCAACCAAAGGCCTGTTCAGCATGTGTAGGATTCGTCTTCCTTCCCACTGTATATTTCCTGGGCATTGGATTCTTGCTCGGTTCGTTGTCAGCGTTTCCTGTTGTTTATCTTTTGTGATTGGCTCTCTAATATTCAGGATGCAGAGAAATGGACTTCTATTGATGAAAGTCTGAATATAAAAGAGTCTGGCCAACTTGGATATCAGGAAATAGCTGTGACAGTGTAACTCTATATTATCTAAGGACTAGTTTTCTCTTATCGTGGTTTTATACAGACTGTCTTTTTTTCTGAGTTTCATACAGTCAATCTTTCTCTCTTTCTTTCACACACGCACACACACCAGCAAACGTACTTGAATCATTTCGAAGTTGATATATACAGACCTCATTTCCTACATGTCATTTTACATGTGTGTGTTTGTACTTCTCTGACCCGACTTATTGATTTATGGCTTGGCTATCTCTCACCCTACTTATCATCTTTCGAGTCTTATTGGTTGTTCACTATCTCAGTTCTTGGTGTGGTTGTGTTCTCTGAGCTGGATGGTTTGGTTGCGAAGCTTTCATTGCTCTACTGAGCAACATCTTCAGCGCATACTTCGATGTGAAGTGAGCTTTTAGAATTCTCTATGAGTTTATTAGTCATCTCTTCTGGTAACCCTGAACGTGATTGGTTGTTTTCGTGTGACATTTCACCCCCTTGTTTGCTTGTCTCGATGCTGGCTGCTTCTTTGGTCTGAATGTCGTTAGTCATTCCTTCTGCTAAGCTTGAACGTGATTGGTTGTTTTTGTGTGACTTCTCACTTTCTAGTTCACTTGTTTTGGTGTTGACTGTTTCCTTGACCTGAAGTTTGACTTTGCTTTTGTGTGAATTTCTTCGTATGGATTGGTATATTTTGTCAATCTCTATGTGTCTATTGATTGCTGATTCATTTGAATACCAGGCCTCTAGGAATTCTCTGGCATTTTCGCAGTTCCCTTTGTCTAAGATTTGAACGTCTTAATCAAACGAACAACTACAGGAAAATTAGAAACCCAACTATACAGAAAACCAACGCACACGGATCAAATACTCAATTACAACAGTAACAACCCAACATCACACAAAATTAGCTGCATACGTACATTGTTCAAGAGAGCCAGGACTCATTACAGCACTCCCGCCTTGAGGAAAATTGAAGAAAATCATCTTATGGACGTCTTCCAAAGAAATGGATACCCACGAAACTTCATCAAAAGACATCTACCCCCAGCTCAACCAATCAAATCAAAGGCCACCAGCGAAAACACAAAGAAAGTAGTCCTACCATATTTAAAAGATATCTCCGAAATCACTGCAAGACTATTCAAACCTTTTGGAATCGATGTCGCTCATAAACCAACAAAGTCACTACACTCAGTTCTATGTAAACCAAAGGACTCAACGGCAAAAGAAGACAAAACTAACATCATCTGCAAGATAAGTTGCAACGACTGCGACAAACATTACATTGGTCAAAGTGGACGCCCTCTTCGTCTTCGCATTCACGAACACAAACTAGCTGTCAAAAGACACGACATACACTCCCTCATATCACTACATGCAGACAACCACGGGCACCAATTTAACTGGGACAATGTTCAAATCTTAGACAAAGGGAACTGCGAAAATGCCAGAGAATTCCTAGAGGCCTGGTATTCAAATGAATCAGCAATCAATAGACACATAGAGATTGACAAAATATACCAATCCATACGAAGAAATTCACACAAAAGCAAAGTCAAACTTCAGGTCAAGGAAACAGTCAACACCAAAACAAGTGAACTAGAAAGTGAGAAGTCACACAAAAACAACCAATCACGTTCAAGCTTAGCAGAAGGAATGACTAACGACATTCAGACCAAAGAAGCAGCCAGCATCGAGACAAGCAAACAAGGGGGTGAAATGTCACACGAAAACAACCAATCACGTTCAGGGTTACCAGAAGAGATGACTAATAAACTCATAGAGAATTCTAAAAGCTCACTTCACATCGAAGTATGCGCTGAAGATGTTGCTCAGTAGAGCAATGAAAGCTTCGCAACCAAACCATCCAGCTCAGAGAACACAACCACACCAAAATCATCCACCTGAGCTACAAATCTTCTCTATTATAACTATCTCAGTTCATTAATGAGATTAGTGCCTCTCAAGGTCATTTTAAACATATATATACATCATGACATGATTCGCATTAGTGACCTCTAGGCTATGCTCAGAGCTATACTCTGAATGATCCAATTTTACAACCACATTAGGCAAGCTCTCAACAGCACAGTATGATATTGATAGTGCAGTTAGCATTACAAACAAAGTAAAAATACAATAAGATAACATTTATACTTATCCGGGGTCATCCGGAAAGATAATTATTGCAGGTCAGGAATGAAGAATAAGGGAGGAAGAGAGATAGAAAAAACCTTTTCTGAACATAGAGGCTATTGTTGCGACGAAGCTTAACAGTCAATGACGTGCCAGTCTAGGGAATTGAGGTGGCACCTTGTATAGAATTGTAAAAGTTGAACTTTTGTGAATCTTTTGTACTGCGTATCCTTACAAGATGCACAAATATGGAGAGTTTAATCGGCTGTACGTCTCCCTTACCTAACTAACCATTTTTGATAGTGCTCAAGAAGGCGACGGTGAACTTTCTAAGTTATGTTTTGCCTACGTAAATGTCTCCAAATGAAGGGTTAAGTTTATAAATGCAAATTGATAAGGTTATCAGACCCGGTAGCTTCTGCTTCACATCTGCGCATTGGAACTGTACAATGAGTGGAGAATTTTCAACACAATGTTTAGGCAGAGAATGATTTAGCTATTACATTACCAAAGTTTTAATGCCAGCCAGTAATTCAGTTGCTGCATCTCCTTTAAACA